TATATATATATATATATATATATATATATATATGTTTATCCTGGTCGGCAGAGCCAAGATAAATATAAATACATAAATATAAATATAAATATAGATCTATAACAATAGACATATAGGAATAGATAAATATAAAGATATAGATATACATGAAAGAAGAAACTCAGTCTTTCTCTTTAAAAAGATGAAAATCTATACTCCTTGATAATCAAGGTGTGAGGCAAGATGCTTCGGTGCTGAGAGTAAAATGGGAACAGCCTTACCCTGGCCAGGTATCTCAGTTGATTAGAGCATCTTCCTGATATGCCAAGGTTGTGGGTTTGATCTCTGGTCAGGGCACATACAAAAAGCAACCACTGAATGCGTAAATAAGTAGAACAACAAGTCTCTGTTTCTCTCTCCCCCGCCTCTCCTCTCTCTCTTTGGAGGGAATTTAGCTGTGTCCACCCAAGTCTATAATATATGTTTCTTCATCCTGACAGTTTTACTGCTGGGAATTTATCCAATAGATAGAACCATAAGGAAACACATGCACACACACTGCACATCCACACGGGGCTGTGCGCACCATCGTTTGCTGTTGTTTTTGTTGTTTCTTAATTGTCACCCAAGGATACCCTTTCTATTGCTTTTCAGAGAGAGCGGAAGGGGGCGGGGAGAGAGAGAGAAGCATTGATGTGAGAGCTAACCATCAGTCAGCTGCCTGCCGCACACCCCCTCCTGGGGACCAAGCCTTGACCCGGGCACGGGCCCTGACTGGGAATCGAAGCAGAGACCTTTTGGTCCACAGGACGATGCTCAGCCAACTGAGCCCCACTGGCCAGGGCACTAGTTACTTTCTTACTGTTAATTTGTTTTACTGTTCACCCCCCACCTGTGGGATGTAAGCCCTAGGAGGGCGAGAAGCTTGGCTGCCCTGTTCTGGGTCTATCCCAAATGGGCAGAGCAGCGCCTGGCTCTGGGGGCACGTCCAGAGGGTTTGTTGAACGGTGAGCGAGGATTCTGTCTTTGGTTTTGAAGGGGCAGAGCCTGGAAACGGACGGCTGTAAGCCTCCTCTGAACACAGCCGGAGTAAAATTCTGTGCAGTGTAATCTTTGGCAAGAACTGATGCCGAAAAAGTATGTTTTCCTTATAAGCACCCAATATTTTAATAACAAAATTTTTATTCCCACATTCATTTTTATAGTAAGAGTTTCATATCCACATTACTTAGAAATTAGAGAAGGTGAAAAGAAAACACATTCGTTTCCAAATAGAGAAAGATTGCCTTAAAAGTTTCCCGAAGCTGGGTGCGATGCTTTGGTTGGGGCCGGCGTCCGTGTAGCCCCTGTTCCTGGAAGGCTCCGGGAAGAGGGTTCCTGCCCCCTGGAAACAGCCCGACCCTGTGGGTGGGAGGGAGTTTGGAGCCTGATGTCAGCCCAGGCCCAGGGCCCTGAGGCCAGGAGAGGGGAGGGGCGGTTCCCAGGCGCCATGCTCCTCGGTGCAGAGCTGGACGGCCCCGCGTTCTCCGCCCTCGTTGGGGGACCCCCACCCCGCGCACCCGGCTTCCCACAGCCCTCCCCCTCAGGAGTGACGCATCCCCCCGGGACCGCTTATGGCTCANAAAACCAGGAGGAAAACTCACCCCGCAGCAGGCACCGCGGGCCCTGTGCGTTTCACGCGGAGCTGACTGCGTAGGTTGTGGCTCCGGGAGGAGCAGGGTCCGCTCCAGGGGACACCGACCTATTCCCTGCGCATGACGCGGACGGCGAGCCCCGCTCCTCCGAGGCTCGGGAAC